GGTTCTGCTATTACATTTTCTCAGCTAAAATTCAGCATTTCTAAATAACTGATAAGGAGTCACACTTCCAAATGATTTATATAGCAAGATACTTCAAGGAACAATTTTAATTTCAAATACTGTCACTGTTTGGGACTGGGAGCGTGCAAGACATTGTTCTCAGCTTTTCCTGAACATGTGGCTTCTGGTTAGGAGCCTATACTAACACTTGCAGACAGAAATGGACTTCTTGTGCATGGTGATGAATTGTTCAAAACACACATAGAAGTTCCTTCTGTGGGGAGGATCCTTTCTTCCTCACTCAACTGTTATCCTGGTGTGCACAAAGCCACACTTCATTATTCATGAGATGTATTTTCTGTCAAAAACCAGGGGATTTGGAGCAGTACTGACCTATGACCTTTCCAAATAGCAGGGAAGAATAATTCATAAGGGGTGAAAATGGAAGCAAGATGAGCCATCTGAGGCCTAGGCACAATTACTGTCCAGAGGGACATTCCCCGCTCCCCAGGGAGTCTCAGTTACGAACTGCTTCTCTGCACCCGTAACCTAATTCAGCTTCAGCTCCATCACAGGCCTGCAGCACTACTTACATCGTCAATAAAAATCCATTTCGTCAGCACGATAGGACATTCTACATGATGGACAGACACTATTACGTTTTAGATGGAGGTCTTATGTTTAATGAGTGATGCTCAGCATGCAACAAAAAGCATACAAGAAGTAAACTTGGCTGCAAGCAAAATGAAGATCCCCGCATTGCATCTTTGAAAATAAATGCTTTGTATTCTGGCTGTTGTGGTCTTTCAGTTACTATTTTATTCAGCTGAGGTGTCCTCAAGTTGGTTCTCCTACCTTTGAGCCTCCCTAGGTTTGCGGTCAATGAAGATATTTTTTAGACCATCACTCATTTCAAAATGCATCTTGGCTTTTGAAATGAACAACAGCTGAGTTGATTCTGCTTAAAGAACAATGAACATATTATAGAAGGCCTGTAGTCTTCAATTATTAAATTCATGATATGCAGAAGTGCTTTCAAAACATGTGATTTCATACTCTGGTCTGCATGTCAGTGCTCAATATGCATAAATCTGTGCCCTCCTGGAGAAGCAGGAGGCTTATAATAGTCTAACAACTCATAAAAGCAAAAAACATGTCAGCTCAGCATGGAAGTCTGGTTTCAATCCACAAAAATTGACAAAAGCCACAGAAATATAGTACCATGCAGGAAATAACTTCTAAGGGGTGGAATATATTCTGAAACATCTAAAATTTGCACCTAGATTTTAAGTTCCTACAGTAAGAAGCCCTCAGTGTGTCTGTTTCTTCTCATGTCAGCAGAGAGAAAGCAGGTGCCCCAGATGTGGGCGCCTCAGGTCTACAAGGAAAATGAATGCTTGTTTTAAGACGACTGTTTCGCTGAGCACCAGCGGTTGCCTGAGGTAGGGGACTGGATGCCATTCAAGAACTCCTGTAATTGAATTCTGCTGTTCAAAGGACAGGCTATAAGAAAACTGTGTCGAACTTTTTAAAGAACCCCCCTGCAAGCTAAAAACCAATCCTGGTATGTACCAGAGAAGCTCATACCTACTAAACTGAACAAAATTCCTCTACTTCTTTTTATGAGGAGATCCGTTAAATAAACAATGATGAAGTGCTTTGAAATTTCAAGGACATGATGTAAAGACACAATAAACCAAATGCAGATTCTAATCTTAAAAGATTAAGGCATAAATTTGCTAGATAGCACTGAAACTGTAAATTTGTTGTTTCCCCTATAAGAAATATGCTTTGGCTGAATTTGCTGCTGCAAACTAGCAGAGGCCTGAGGTGGTTACAGAAAGAACCACTCATGGGCTGTGATGACAACTTGCAGGGCAGAGAGGTTCCCCTTCAAGCGACAAAAAAAAAGGTAGGACACCTTCCTGCAGCAGAACTCACTGGTAAGTTTGGCAGCTACACAGAACAGCCTTCCTACCAACCTGCCCATGCTCTCAGCAATGCCCCTGAGCACTTCCGAAGCGGCAGTAAAGTCAGTTTGCAGGTTGTCAAGACATCACGCCCCAAACAAGATGTACAGGACATTTACTGTAGTAATGCCAAACACATTTTTGAACAAAATGATCCAAAGACAAGATTCCCACTGCCCTGAACACCTTGATGTAAGAGCTCAGTGGCCCTTTGTTTATGCTACTTTGACTGGCATTCAGCCACATGAATAAAAGAAAAATGCTGAACTGTTTTTCTGTCTAAGGCTGCAGCATCATTAATTGTTTCAGAGCCATGTCAGGTCTTAGCAGATGGCAGAGAAGGAACTGAATTTCTGACATTTTTAATTAAAATGTAACCCTTATTACTATGGGATTAATAGATATATAAATATAGCTGCACAATTTTAATGTACATTTTGTAAGAGGCAAATTCTGGACTCTTTGTAGACCTAACTAAGAAGGCTGAAAGCAGTTAAATTTATGTTGGTAGCTCTTGTGATTTTGTTGCTACTCTTATATTAGTGAGACACTTTTCTGAAGGCTGCTCCTACAGTAAAGATAATATAGTGAGAATGTCACTATATTCTCCACTAAAAGCTCCACTTTTTTCCCCAACAGACCCACATTCCTGGCAAAATTTGCAAACAAAAATGTTTACATCCCTCGAATCAGAAAGCAAATAGTAAGGCCCCCAAAAGCAAAGATATGTATTCATACATGCAAATGCCACACTTGGCGTGACTGGGTTCTTGTGGCTGCGATAACACTTTTTGACAGAAGTAAACCTCTTTTCACGAAGGTTGAACTGAATCATCAAGACTCTTTTTCCCCTACCTGGATTACGGCCAAGACAGTTTCGGCCAGCAGTGACATGTGCTCAGCTGCCTTGCCTGCAAACCTGCTCTATGCCCCAAGGCAGAAGAACCACATCCCAAACCTGTTCCCACCATGGGCACACTGGAGAGGCTTCATTATACCCCAGCCCTAGCTGTGCTTCTGACCGTGACGCTGATTACATGTCTTCCCATCTGCTGCAAAGGACCCAACCAACCTTCCTGCAGGCTGGATTTCGATAACCATAACTTGTTACAGGGAACACGGGGCCCTGCTTGTCCCCTACCACATGTGCCCACAATGGTTTGTGAAATGAGTGGGGGTTTGCACACCAGTTGTTCTGTTAAAATGGGGGAGAATAGTCAAGGCACTTTCTGCTTCATGGTCTAATTTTTGTGGTTTACTAGCTTAGAATGAGTCTTCGCATGACTTTAGCAAAGGGTGTGCATGGTTTTTCCCTTCACTAGCACAAGAACAGAAAAGCCACAGTCTGTCACATCTCTGTAAAGTCCAAATGTGTCACTCTGAGTGCCAAAAACCTGTGTGTCATTTACTTGATGAGCTTGGGACCCTCACTCATGTCTTGTGCTTGTGCTGCTTCACAGATGTCCCAGTGCATCTTGGCACATGTGCTGCTTTGTGCAGGGGCTGTATCCTCACCTTCACCCTCCTGCTGAGGACTGAAAGGAAGGGAAAGACCTCACAGCACAGAGATCCTGCCTGGAAAAGGCATGTGGAAGAAAATGAGCTAAATCACAGTTGGACTGAGCTACCTCTCCAGCTCCTACATGTGGATGGGCAGTGGAAGCTGAGGCAGGAGCAGAGGATGCAGGCACCCTCTATAGTCTTCCCCTATGCTCTTGCAAACTTGCACTACAGGGGCTTGGGGGCTCATGGCATGGGTAGCGGTACAGCACAGGCGTCGAGAGTGACCCCACAGTCTGGTGCAGCACACTGGCCCCACACAGGAGACCCACCAGC